CTTTAGGGAGGGGTTCCCCCCCCCTTTTCATTTTTAGCAGGGGGGACCGCAACCACCAAAAATTCCCAAGCAAGAAGGGTGGGGTGGGGAATTCTGGGAGTTGAAGTCCACCCGTCTTAAAGTTGACAAGGTTGAGGAACCCTGTGTTAGGATCTTTCACATTTGTGCTCCTTCAAGGCTCTATGTGGATCCATATGATTCCACATTCCAAGAAGATTACCTCCTTGTGCTACAGCATGAAAAAAGAGGTGAAACTGAGGGAACTGGTGCTATGTATGTCTGAGTGTAATTTTTTATTATGCAGAATTTCATCACAAAACAAATCACCTCCTCAGTGTAGTTATGCGTTACAATATTGTTATTATCTATCCTTTACTATTACTTGGAAAGCTTCCTCAGCTTTTCAGAGCTGAGACAAAACTTAGGAAACTGAGAGAAAAAACACTGAGTGCTAATTTACTAAAAGTATCCTTAGAGTTGTTTGAAATATGTTTTATTTTTCTTTAACTATATATTCCAGCCCAGTCCATTTAGGAATTTAAAATAATTATTTCTCAATGTGTCAGTCCGTTGATTATTACTGAATCATTAAGTGGTGTTATTTTATTTTTATACTACTGTTTCTCCCAGAAAAGCTAAAAGTGATTTACAACCAAATAATTAAAACTTCCAGACTTAAATAAAATCAGTAATCCTTAAAATCAGTAGATTCCAAAATTTAAAATGTTCATTTGGGGGGAGGGAATACCCCGAGAAGACTAAAAGGAGACTAAGCCACACCCTCTGGTGATGTCATAATGCCAATCACCCAACCATTGTAGCTTACAGCAGCCAAAAAGGGGAGGCAGTTCCAGGACCCCAAACTCTGCCCCTGGCAAGTTACTTTTACCTCTTTCCAGACCTCTTCTAATTGTACCAATTACTTATACCCATTAACAGTTCCTTACACAAATAGAAAGCTATAGTTAAATAACATGAATTTAATCTCATGCTTAAAGGGCTTGTAGGATCAAGCCAAGGTTTCCCCAAGATCCCAGAGCATGTATTCCTAACTTTGGATGATCTCAAAAAGCTAAGTAGGGTCAGACCTTGATGGGAGACCAGCAAGAAATGCCAGAGCAGAAGGATAGACTGGGAAGTCAAAAAACATTCTGAAAGAAGGAAATGGCATACTATTTCCATATTGCTGCCAAGAAATGACATGAACATTTCATTTAACATGTCCTTAAAGCCACCCAAAACTGAATTGATTGAACTTGAAGGAGACTTTGCCTCACTATGAACACCAGGTTGACAATTGCTTCTTATGTATAATTGTGTTAATTTAGAAAACAAAACAGCGTATTTGCCTTCTACATGAACTTGCAGCATTGCATAATTATCAAATTCAATATGCAGGATTCTATTAATAAGAAATGTCATGTGGAAAAGTCAGCGGTGTTCAAAGAAACCAAATACTGACTGTGACACAGCATCTTATCTTTTCAAATGAGATCATCTAGTATATTTGACGCAGAGAAATTATAACACAATACGCTATCTGATAGAAGTAGAGAAATGCATACGCTCTTCAGGAATGTATTTTTGTACATTTGAGGACTCATGGAAAGTTCATATTATTTAACTGCTACAAAATGTGTATTCTGTCTGTAGGAAATGAAGGAAAACTCCTGCCTAGGAAGAACGCATGGGAGGCAGCAATTAGTAAGCTATTCCTTTTGCAGTTTTTCTAGCGTGGAAAGATGGCATCCTCCCACTGGAGTCAGATTTGGAGGCGGACAGGGGACAGTAGTAGAGGACGGAAAGCCTTCCACAGACAGAAGAAGCCTTCCGCCCACAGAAAGGAAACTTGAATCATTCAAATCAAACTCAAAAAAATCAGTAGAGAGGATGTTGTAGGTGGACAGTAACAAACAAATATAATGCTATTAATTTCAAAGACAATCTAATTTCATCCCCAGAAAACTATAATCGAGTGATATGTCGACTGAAGAGGTTAACAGAGAAGAGTGTCAAGTGGATTTCATAAGAAAAAGCAGTCTTAAAATGTATGGCTAGGTGGCAGCACCTCGCCAAGCTTGGCTAATCTCGAAAAATTAAGCAGTATTAGAAGTGGCTAGTACTTGGATAGGAGACCACTAAGAAATACACAATAGTACTGGGAAGTAAAAAATGAAACTTCCAAACTGTTGCCAAACCCTCCTACCCCCCTGTGCCCCAAACCCACGGATGTGTCCATGAAGTCATTAAGAATCAAGTCGCACTCAAAGGAGACATTGCACTGAACAAATAAGATATGGATTTAATTTTCTTTCAACTGAGATAAATTTATAACAAGGCATCAGTATAATTACAACAATCTAATGGAAAACCCAATGTTATTTTCATTGATTGCAGTGTTCATGGATTATATGTTTGCGAGCAGTGTTATCTCCTTTTTTAATATACTGAATTCTTAACATTAAAATAGCCATTCCTTCTTCCAAAGTGATGTATCCCACTGCAGTTCTGGCAGCTGGAGGGCTACCAATAGTTTCCTCTTTAAAGCTTACACAGTTTATCACCTGACTATCTGAAAGACTGCCTACATTGATATAAACCTTTTTGGGATCTAAAGTCGACAGAAGAGACCTTCTTAGTATCAGCCCATTCCAGAAGCCAGGCATGTGAAAGAGAGGAACTTCCTACACTGCTCCCAAGCTTATGGATTCCACTCTCTCAAGAAGAGGTGTGGGCTACATTTAAACATACCCAAACCAGCCACTGAGCCATGGAAGCCTTCCAGCAACATAATGATATCGCCAGAAAGAATGGCCTACAACTTCTGGACCATTTGGGATGGATGTAGGGGTACTAGAGTGAGTCTAAGGGTGGGAACAGTAGCATTTCACATCCCAGAGGCCTATGCTTTTCCTTATTTTACTGTTTTTACCTGAACTGGTTAGTGAAAAACATCCCAAAAGAAGGCAATGCCAAATCATTTCTTTCATTGCCAAGAAAACTGCATGACTTCAGGAAATTGTGATCTAATTCAGGAGTGAAATTTTTCAGGGCAATTTTTGAAGGTCAAAGACCACCCTTAACTTTTGTGGTGGGCTGTTACAGTGACTGCAAACTGGGTGGAGCCACATCATCATCACACACAGGAATAGTATTACGTATTTTTTGTATGTTTTTGTGGAGAACATGTAGCGTTATTTATTTTTAAGTGGGCCAAGTCTATTTAAAAATTTGTCCTATTGTTCTTGTGATTCCTGCAACCATGTTTTATGGTTTTAATTAATTTAAATTTAATTTAATTTAATTACAAAAGAAAGTTTGCCAACCTGTGATCTCTACTGATAGTAGAACCCACAAAAATTTTTAAAAATTACAGAAATTGAAAGGGACTTTCAGATATGGTTCAAACTAGCTCCTTAAAACCATAGCAACTTCTTGGCATTAGAGATATATTAAGGTCAGAGAATTCACACCATAAACTCAGTCCCCCCTTGCGCTCCAAGTCATCCACACAACGGTGAAGAAGTGGTAGCGCTTCACTCAGATTCACTGCCAGTTTCCAACTCATGTAGCTTCAAATTTCAGCCTCCAGCTCTGTTGAGTGATTGCACTAAGACTTGGAGATATGTTGCGGGGGGGGGGGGGCAGGAATATACTTTGCTCACAGTTCAGCAATTGTGTAGTGCTGCAGAAGTAAGAAGTCAACCCATCATGTATATGTACATGAAGAAATAATGGAAATACACATACATGATGCAGGCCCCTAACTTATCATGAAACAAGAAAACTTTTATCATGCACACATGTAAGAATATCTTTGCATCACAGTAGAGACATTCCTTAGGCTTTTAACTTCACCTTCTTCATTTTTTTGGGAAAAGTAAGGATCCTGATCTATGTTACTATGAGTAGACAATCATTTCCCTTTTGGATGAATTAGTACCAGCGTAGCGGTGACAATATGGCCACCATCTGTAGCAATCCTGCATTTAGTGCCATTTCACAGATGTTTGCAGATTTCTGGCACTGAGACATGTTGTGCTCTGGCATTCCAGATTTAGATACATTCCAAAACTCTCCATCCCACAGTGGGTCTGGGAACTGCTATTATAGACAGAGTCTAGCTGTCAAAGGCTCTTTTTCAAGGGAACAGAAATTCTACCTGAGCTATAAACAGTGTTTGAAGCAAGGGAATGCTTTTTTATTTATTGAAGAACACTAGCTGCTGTGAGTATCTCTTCTGAGAAAGGAAGTGAAGAGTATAATTATCCTAAATAAATAAGTAACAGTAGAGTAGATGTGACAGTGTGTGAACACAATGAACATTCAATATTTTCTATTTTTAAGTCTCTCTTAAGGCATCCTCACATTCCACATATTTATAAACATACGCTATGTTTCTTCTAGCTGGTCTACCACAGGTTATGCCGCAGATCTTAAATTATTCTAGAATTTGCTTTCATTAAAAATAATAGAAGTATTACATAGATATATTATTTTCTATTAATATACCTACATTCCAGTTAACATATGCTTCTAATCTATCATTATCAACATGTGTTTTAACCCTTCTCTTTAAATGTTAATACTGGTGCCTCACGCACAAGAGTGCTTGACAGCTGGATTCAGAAAAAGGAACTGATTGGCGGAAGATGCTGTCCAAGTTTCAAGGAAACTGTGATGCTCATCCCTTGTGGCCACTGATAGCACCAAAGCACGTGGCAGCCTTCCAATCTGGGCACCCTCCAGATGTGGGACTACAGTGCCCCCAATTTCTAACCAGCATAGCTTCTATGGGAGTTGCATCCATCCATTCTTATTTATCCTGATAGCCTTACTGGGAAAGCATGCTCCAAGGCCATCTCCCAAAGAATGTTTGGGTGTAATAGCTTCACTGCAGAAGGCAGCAGATTTCTGCATGCTGCTGCTTATTTGTGGCACATTTAATCTGGCATTGGGTGGGAATGAGGAGGCGGCCAGCACATCCTGAGAGACTGCAGAGAGCAGAAGTCGAGATTGGAGGGAAGGGTGGTAGGCTGGAAAACTTCTTCCTCTCCTTTCACTAAGCCACTATGGTTTTCCCAGGACCTGCTCTGCTCTGCTCTGCTCTCGCTTACCGGTTCAGACTCTCCTGATGCGGCCTTTCCCTGAGGCCTTGGCCTAAGGGCTTCCTCCCCTCCACTTCCTTTCAGAGTCTTAGCAAAGCCGGCCGTGCTGCTGGAAAGCGTGTCACGCACGCCTCTCGCTCGGTGCGTTTCCACACTCCACCTCCTTGGGCTTTTTTCCTCCATCGCCGCCACCTTCTCTTCGCTCTCTCCTGTTGGACTTGTCTTTATTTGGCGCTGCCGGAAACTCCCCGGGCTGCACCTCCCTCCCTTTGTGCTGCTTTTTGTGAGTGACACCACTTCATACTGAAGAGGAAGAGGAGGGAGGGAGGGGGAGCGAGGGAGCGCCTACGGATTTTCGTGGTGGAGAGGAGAAAAGAGGCTCCAAACAGGTAATCCAAGAGCAGCCGGTGGCGGGGAGGTGCCGGGACAGGGGAAGCAGACCAACCCTTTGGCCCTAAAGCGATGGGCAGGGCAGCGCAGGGCAGGGCGTGGGGGTGGGTGCGTTTTGGCCAGGCAGCAGATGTAAGACAGGGGCTTGGGGCGGGAGACAGCTGTGCAGAGGGGCCTTTCCTGGCGAGGCAAGCGGGTCTGAGCGTGCGTGTGTGCGCGCCTCCGCATAAGGTGCTGGAAACGGGGCTCAGCAGCGAGCTCCAGTTGCCCGGACCGATATGGCTGAACTGCATGCTTGTGGCGTCTGCGGTCTAGAAAGGCAATCCGGGTCGTTCTTCCTTCGGCATTCCCTTCTCGCCCCCGCCCATGTGAAGCAGTGGCCTGCAGCTAGAGCGGGCAGGTCTGCTGTGTATTGTCCGTAGGCTGCAGCTGTGGGTGGGGGGATCCCCTTTCCGGAACGGGGTGGGGGGGATTCGGTGTGGACTCCAAAGCGCGGATGCGGCGGAGCGCCTGCTGCGTGACAGGCTGAGCTCACAGCCCTACCTGCAGGGAAGATACTTTCCACCTGGTGGGATTTCATCTCCTTTGAATGTGCGGCACTGCGAAGCCCCCTGTCTGGAGAAGTAACCTTGTGTGGAAACCGACCGCCCTCTCCGCTGGGTCACCAGGAAGAGGGAGGCCCAGTCACTTCTGTTATGATTGGTGCTTTCATTAACAATTCTTTTTTTTAAAATAATATTTCCAGATGAGGCAGCCTGGGCTACATGTGTGTCTCTATATATACATTTTGTATGGCCACCAGCTGGCTATTCCTGCCTCTGTAACCTCTCTTAAGAGCATCCAGAGACACTCAATATGCTATGAATCACTCAAAAAAGGTGCATGTAAAAAAAAAAAAAAAAGGATTTTGAAATTCAGAGTCGCAAAAATGAGAGGGAATGCTGCTGTGGAATTTAGTGTGATGTGGTTATCACTAAATGTTTAGAAGTAGCTCATTCCAGGATGAAAAAGCAGATCTTTTTGTGTAACCCAGTCCTATGAGTATACAGTATACTGAGATGTAAAACTAGGTTAACAATTTGCAATGACAGTTATTCCCAGGATAGACTAGATTGCATCTGGGCTGTGTCTTTAAGAGATAATATAATAAAACAGTAGCATTCTGTGCTTCAGTGATTTTAATAGTGTATCTGGAACCATTTCCATTCCCAAATATAAGATGTGGGATTTGGCATGGAATGAAGAGGATTTCTTGGGAAGGTTCTGTTTTGAAGAACAATTTTGTGAGATTATTTCACTAAATACCTCACAGACAAATCTTGATTAGCCATTGAAAATAATCTCTGAGTTGGAAGCTAAGCCAGGGTCAGGCCTGATTGGTGTTTGGATGGGGGACTGCCAGGGATGCAGGCTAGACTGGGAAGTCAGAAAACATCCTGGAAAAAAAGAATGACCAACCACTTTTGTACCATTATTAAGAAAAGTGCATGGGTGTATCTGTGAAGTCACCAGGAGTTGCACTTGCCTCAAGCGCTGTTACTTCTCTTTTAATAGTATATAATAAAACAGAATCATTGATTTTTTTTTCAATGAAATTATCTCTGTGGAGTCCTTGGTGCTGTCTGAGCTTGGTGGCTTTCTTACAGAAGGTTGTTTGCTTGCAGACGTTTCATCACCCAACTAGATAACCTCCTCCTCCTCCTCCTCCTCCTCCTCTTCCTCATCATCATCCTAACTCTTCTTCTCTATGTATGAAGATCAAAGCCACAAATTAGCCATGTTTTAGAGAATACAGGGATTATTTCCTTTAGTATTTCACAGATTACACATAGTGTGTTAACATTGTCTTTGCCAATAAACCTGCCATTGTTTTTATTTAAACTCAATAAGTGGCCAGTTGTTTCTTTTTAAACCTTTAGAATAAAGGTTTAACAAATAAAATAGTGCATAAAACTTTCAGAAGGCTCTTTAGGTAACAATAGTTTCTCCCCATTAATTTAAGAATAATATATTTCTATGTCTACTGAAAAATGACCCATAATCGTCATTGTATTCTGGGTTTCAGTCACTTCTTCCAAGCTCCCATCCTGGTACAGGAATAAAACAAGCTTTATTAAATAAAAAAATATAAAGAGCCGTTCCTTAAAACTTGATTTTGCCCCCACGCATGGGGGCAGAGTGGCTGTTGAGCCTGCTGGTTCTTTCCTTGGGGTGTTTTTTGCACTGTTGTGCTTATCCTTATAGACATTCATGATTTTGTTTTGTTTTTATTGTCTTCTATAATGCAAGCCATCCAGAGTCTTCTGGAGTTGGCTCGCCTCTAAAATTAATAAATAAAATAATTCACCGCTGTACTACAGCTAATAAGGTAATAAGCTAATAAGATAAGCATTATTAATAATTGGGCATCTAACATAGGCACTGGAATAGAACCTAAAAAACCAGCCAGAGGATGGATGTTCATTCTGTTCAAATGAAACTACTGTAATAAGGACAACTAAAAGCTATAAATCTCGGATGATTACTAGGGACTGAAAATATTGTGTAAACATTTGTTCATAATTAGAAATGGAAAGGATGTGCTAATTCAAAAGGGATAGAAGGTTAAGCTGTGAGCCCATTTGAATCTTCTCCTACACTGGACTATTCTCTGTTTTTATTCAGCACAGTAACAATACAAGGTTTATGAACCTGGTGTCTTTCAGGTATGACAAACTACATGATTCTAGAGTTGCCATTTCTGGGCCAAGTGACCACTAGATGGCAGGAAAGAGATACCAAAATGTGTAACTCTTTGCTGTCACCTAGTGGGTACCTATATTTGTGCAGACCAGATATGCCAACCTCACATGTTTCCCATTTGGTGGATACCAGTTTCAAAATCCTAACTGAAGGAGATACAGTAGCTATAAAAGTTTGGGATAGAGAATGAAACTGCCTGAAAACTGGGTATAGGTAGTCCTTGGTTAACAATCATTTGTTCAGCGACCAAAGTTATGGCAGTACTGAATGAGGAGACTTGTGCCTATCTTCGAAGTTGCAGCTGTTGCAGTGTCCCCATGGTCACATGATCGCAATTTGGACACTTGGCAACCAGCTCACAATTATGATGGTCACAGTGTCCCACAGTCACATGATTGCCATTTGCAATCTTCACAACTGGCTTCCGACAAACAAAGTCAATGGGGAAGTGGGTCGCAAATGGCGATTACATGATGTCACGCCTAATGACCATGCAGGATTTTCCTAACAACTGGAACTGCCAGAACTGCCATAAGTTGGTTCAGTCACATGACATTGTGCTTCACGATCGTGTCATTTAGCAATGGAGTTTGTGGTCCCAGTTACTGTCATTAACCAAGCACTACTGGTATAGCTGTGGAATAAAGGAAACTTTTTCTTGATTTAAAATTCTGGCCATTGGCAAGTGACTTACATAACTACATTTCTGTATACTTTGGTAAATTATTCTGGTAAATGTGCACAAAAGTAAGACTGAATCACTCTTCCCTCTCCTGACTTGTCATCAGTATTTACTTCAAGTCAAGCAATCTGTAGCTATACCAAATTTCTTTGCAAATACTAAGAGTATGAAGTTGGCATCATTTAAGCAAAATATTTCAGTCTGCTTGTATGCAGCGGCTTTACTATGAGTTGTAGAATTATGTGCTGTTCCTTTGAAGCTAATTATCTTAAGATGTTTTAAATATAGCTGTATTTTTCATCAGGAAATTCATCATTGGTAGAAGAAACAACTTTCAGTTCTGGAAATTTAGAGTGAACAGTGCATAGACAACAATCTTTATCCTGTTTTTCCTGTACATGATTTGAAGTAATTATGATGAGTTGGAATAAGAATTAGGGAATTTTTTTTCTATTAGCTTTCAAAATAGTGTTGCATATACGTACATCTTTACATTTATTTGAATTTTGAATGGAATAGAAGACATTACAGACTTACCATTCATTCTTTGATTCTCCATTCACTAAATTCTAGGCCACCCAGAATTGTCAGGAGCTGGGTGACATACAAATTGGATGGATGGATGGATGGATGGATGGATGGATGGATGGATGGATGGATGGATGATCAACTGGAATACTTGCTGTTATTGGATTTTAACAAGGTAATTTGCTTCCTTCCAGTAATTGGACTTGTGGCATGTAATTAAATGGATTCCAAGCACTTCAGAATATTTGATTAGTGCATGGCAAAAAGGGTCCTCCTAACTTTACATAACTGTTGATAGAGGAGATACTTAAAATGTTACACTTTATTGGCTGCAAAGAGAAAATAAAACAAGTCAAAAAATAAGCATCTGTGCATGATGATACAAAAAGCAGCACTAAAGGTCATAGGGATAGATGAGAAAAACAGTTGCCTTGGTTACTTTAAATCAGCCATTTTTACAAAGTACTCCGGTTGTTACAGCATCAAAAGATATTATACCCATATGTAAAACAATGTGCATTTCTTTCTTTCTTTTTAGTGGTTTCATATGAATATGTGTTTCTGGCAGTGGTGTTCTAAAGCAGGAATTGTCCAGATTTTTATCTCATAGCTTTTTAACAGTATTGGGAAGAAGCTCCTGTCCCACCAAAATAGTGAGAGTAGTAGTTCTATATTCATATTATAGTCCTACTGTATTTGTTTCCTACTACTCTTGATGACTGATTCAATTGCAAGGAAATACTTTCTTAGTGAGTTGAATGTGCAGATGTCTTGTGGACTTAAGAAGGTCTTAGGGATTTTATGCATCTTTAAAAAAAAACACCTTAGTTTTCTAGCATTTAATGAAATTATAATAGAAGGTTAAGACTATTCCTTGATTTGTTTCTTTTCAAATATCTGAACAAAAATAGCCCTACACAGTGGTGTCTGTAACATCTGGTACAACTTGTAGCAGTTGTACAATGACATCATTATTCACATGTCATTTCCCTCTCTCCCTCCCCTCTTTGGACAACCTTGGCCCTACATTTAGCTGGTATTTTTATGTATTTTTGTATATTGTAATTAACTCACATTGTGATGGTGGTCTAGAAATTATTCTAGATATCAGCAGGTAGTTGAATTCAATGTTTGCTGCAGCCATAGATATTCTAGTTCACCTTGGTAAGTTACTATTCTTTTACTCTTATACCCAGTTTTGCTATCTTTGAGATACTGAATCATTTTCCAGGGCTCCTTTAAATATTTCTGAGAAAGTGTCTTCAGGCACCTTACATAAATAAGTACATATTTTTATGGTGAACATGCCAAACCATCCATTTTTTAAATGGTGTTAGGTAAATAGACAGGCAGGTGGTTTTAAACATGTCCTAGAAACCTTAAGTACAGCTTATTTCATGGTTGTTCAAGAGTTGAAGCCGTCAGCATAGGGTCTGTCTTTTTTAAAAAAATAAAGCCTGAAATGCGTCATTTGTCTAGAACTCGAGAGAGCAAATCCCCATTACTTGCAACTCTCCAATAAATTCCTAAGATAACCCTTAGGAAGTGATTTGAATTTATTAGTGATGCATCTTTGCATCTGTGTGTGGGTGTTGTGTATGACAGAGGGAGTGCCTGCTTAACTCTGTTGATTATTTCTGTGTTTGAAATAACAACCTACTATGCTCCTTTAGTGAATTTCTAGTTGTGTTTTATTGTTAAAAGCCTAATGGAATGCTGGAAAAAAATTCTGTAACAGGGCTTGGAACTCTCTTTGTCCATCAGCAAGATAATTGACCAGAACAGGACCAAATTTCCCAGGAGACGACAAGTCAGCAAAATAAAAATTCAGTAAAAAAAATGGCCCAGATTGATCCAGTGCATCCCTTTGGTAGTTGGGTAGTGGCTCAGAATGTTGCTGACTCCTCCATTGCAAGCCCTCTTCTTCTCAATCCCATGTCCCAGAGTGGAGTTGTAGTTAAAGGGATTTAAAAAAAAACCCCAGAAGCCATGCTCTGCATGCTTTCCCTAACTTGTTAATCTTGCAGATACATACAAGTATTCCTCATTTAGTGACTGCCTTGTTTAGCAACTGTTTGCAGATGTGACAGTGATGAAAAAGTAACTTTACTTTTTTTATAGTAACTTTATTAAGAGAAAGAAAAAAAAGAAATTAGAATAAAGAGATAGTAAAGATCTAAAGTGCAGAAAGCAAGAAAAAGAGAAAAGAAAACAGCTTTTGGGTTGAGTCGCAGGGAGGCTGGAGACCCATCTTCGTTCACAGCTGTGGTGCAGACTTTCTATGGACACCAGAGCCGACCATCCCCATTTCTAACCACTTAGGATTCTGATTATTTTTCAATCTAAGACAGACCTTCCTTTGCAACAGATAAGTAAATCTCTTGGGGCTTATCCTTATTTTGGGGACTATATTTTTAAAAGCAGAAACTGTTTTAATTTGATTTTGAATAATTTTGCAAAAAGCTGAATGAAAGTTGGATTTTTAAAGATTTACAGTGCAAAGAGAAGATTTATTTACTCAAGGGTTTTTTTTTTCTTTTCAATAGAAAACTCCATTTGTAATAAAGAGGTCTGATTTTTTCTATGAGAAAGTATTTTGTTTTGTTAGATCATGTTTGTGGATTGGTTGGATTTTTAAAACAAGAAGATTGTAACCTGATCCCTCTGTTTCTTTTGATATTTGCCTGGAATTCTAGCTTGAAAGACTCCAGAGTATATGAACCAACTGCTTACTTTCACTTGCATTTAAAATATTTGTTGTAAAGGAGAAGAAAAAAATGAAAAGAGTATGGCTAGTGGAAAGTACTGAAAGAAATGGATGCTTCAAATTTGCTTAAACAAATGTTTGATGAATTAGGGGCCAAATTTGTAACTTTGGGAGGGAAATGGAAGAAGGAGCAGACAGGATGGACAGTTATGTGAAACAAATAGCTGGAGAGATGAAACAAAGGTCTGGAGAAATGAAGCAGTTACTGAAAGTGTGGAAGTGCTGGAAAATAAAGCAGAGACCAGAGATCTTGAATTGGAGAAAGGATCAGAAAATGTGGCTTTGCTGAAGCTGAGAGAAAAGAAGTGTGACATGGAAAAAGAAGCCAAAATAGATTTACAATTAAAACCAATTGGTGATATAATAATACAAGAGGACATACAATCAGGAAAGTTGTATTTGAGAGGAGATAAACAGAAAATGATAAGAAATCCATTTGGGGATACTATTTCAAAGGATTAAAGATCAAGTTTTTAAAAAGTAAACAGAAGGTTTATAAAGTGAACTTGTTTGATTATGGTTAATATATATGTTGAGGTTTTTGGTAGTTACTAATGGGATGTTCTTGTGACCAGGATTGAATGGTGAGGTTTTAGAGATTTGTGTATAAATGGGGAGAGATTTTTCTGGGTTTTTTTTTTTTTGAGAAAATGATAAATTGGATTATAAAATGGATTTATTTTTGATTAAGGTTAAAGTATATTAGTTATAAAAGTTATGGATCTTTGTTCTTATATATGATAACAAATGTAAAGCTTTTATATATACAGAGGTGGATTTATAATGAGATATTGGTTTTTTGTTTTTAGAGAAAATGATAAGTTGGATTATAAAATGGATCTATTTTTGATTAAGGTTAAATATATTTGTTATAAAAGTTATGGATTTTTGTTCTTATATATAACAACTGTAAGATTTTTATATGTATAACCTTTTTTGGACTTTTTGCGGGAAACAGAAAAAATTAAACCAAGTTGCACAGATTTGAGGATTAGAAATAATATGGGTTAATAGAAATAATGGAAGGGATTTGTGAATTTAGAACAAGAGTTTATGTATATTGTTACTTATATCTCCTGCAAGGAGGGTCGGAAGTTAATTCTTTTTTTTTTTTTTGAAAAAGAAACTTTATGATCAGTCCTCACATTTACGACCTTCACAGTTCTGTAAAGCAAAGGAAAGCTGAAGTAAGATCATAAGCATAGTTGCAGTTTCACAGTTGTCGGTCTCAATTGTGGTAGCTAAATGAGAACTACTTTTATTTGGAATTCTATGGGAAGAAAGCAACCAGGGTCCTTTGAGATTCCCCACTATTTTGCTCAAAGTAGTAATCTGCTAAAGCAGTCTTCCAAAAATATTAAGATTTTTAAAAAATGTGGTGGCATGAGAAAATGCTGCTGTTGTTTTTCTAATTGAAACAATAGACGTTTTGAGTAAAGAAGCTTGAAGGAAGGTTGAAATAAAACTATGGAATATTTTCTCTTTCAGAATGATAATGGAAGGGTTTTGCATAGCAAATTCTGTTAGCTCCAAAATTCAAGTCATTATGTTAATGAAAATAGAATTATAATGGTGTTTGACCAAATGCATAAATGAACAATAATCAAATTTTCAGGTATTTATTGCAGGACTGCAGTCTAAATCTCTACTAAACCTATCTCTTCTGCAACCCAAAGTTTTTATGGAACATAGCCTCTGACTCTCCTTGCTTTTTTTATGGTCTTTTTATGACATGACAGATTTCCAGTGGTTTATTTAAAAGCAGCATGATAGGCTGGATCAGATCAGTACTTATGGATGGAAGATCTGATCTCTTGTGTCATGCATGGTTTGGCTCCCAGTTGCTTGATTTCAGAACTGAAATAAACTTGATTATATTAGAGAGCATACAATCAAGAAAGAACAGCTTTATAGGGACTTGAAAGCTTGTTTCAGTTCATATAAATCTTTGATTTTCTGAAAAACAAAAAGCTATTGGAAGCTGTAGTACTTGGGCATAGATATGCAAAGAACCTATTGTAAAGGAGCTACTTACAAAGTTCAGTGCAACATTGGTTAACAGAGCTGTTCTACATAGAATGAGTGACCTTCTGGAGTAGCATGGGAGGTCATCAAGGGTGCTGGGGGAAAATACTAAGAAGTATCCATTAGTTCCAAATAAATGAAAAGAAATGACTTAATCTAAAGACAACCTGAATACATTTTACAGCCAAAAAGAACACTTCTGAGGTGTCTCAGTCTTTCAGAGCATATCTGGGGACACTTCCTCCTAATTTCCATTGAAAAGAAATTGTAAACAGTGAAATCACAGGAAAAGGACATGCAGAAATTACAGATAGTGATAATTACCTTATTTACAGTAGATATTAGCTAAATTGTTGGGAGATCACAAAGACCTTGTTGCATTTGTGAGGTGGTTAACACATGTAATGTGATTAAAAGAAGCAGTTTTATCAAGATGTGAAAACTTAAATTTTGGAGCTTAGCCAAGTCTGGATATTTTCTCCATAGGTTCTACTTCTAAGATGCTAACTGATGTGAAATGTTAATTAAAAAAGAAAAAAAAAAGATACAATTTGCCAACATTTATCCACTTCCATGCAGAGGGCTGTCTGCAGTGATGGTCACTGGTTTCAGAATGGTGGACATGACTGGACGATTAAGCCCCACCTCTTTTTATAATTCTATGGTTCTTTAAAATCCACACTTCTCATGTAACAGCTAGTACTATGTGTACCTTTCTTTTTTTCAGAATGGCAGAAGTGGCTTTGATAGAAAGATTGGAAAATGCTGTAATTAGGCTTGAATCATTGTTGTCAGAGTCACACAGAGCTGCTGGAACTATCAATGGATTCAATGGAGGTATGATTTTATTGTTTCAGAAACTATTTTTTATTTGATAGGTTGAAAACTGAAAAACTAAATGGCATGTGGTAGTAACATTTGTTCTGAAAAAAAAAGCTAAAAGATAATCAACTGCTTCCATCATACTTTTAAATTACCTATAAGGAATATTAATATTTTAATCATAATTTTATGATCTGCAGAAAAGATGTGTAATTCATCAATTAATCACACTGTTGATGTTTCAAGTTTCTTTTGATCTTTCAACATTACTGTTTTGATTGTTATGCTGTAAATAATTTTTTTTTCTGCGCTCAGTCATTGCTGACCCTGCAGTGACTGCTTGGACGAGTCCTTGCAGTTTTC